AATTCCAACAGGTTGAGATGGGAGGTTAAGGTCTTTGAGGCAGAAGAAAGAGAACATTGGAAATCGGTCTTGAGGAAGAATTTGAACTGCTTTGAATTCGACATGGTTTGAGTTTTATTTATTTCATTATGAGGACCCTTTCCTTCCAGTTCACTTTATTTTTGATGAGGACAATGACATGATGCGAAGATGACAGTGTCTATGGGCCCTGTTCTCTTGCTTTTATATTTAACTCCTTTTCCAACCTCTGCCATAAACTGTGGGGAGAGAAGTGAGTTTGTGACCAGTACAGCAAAAAATCCAGAGCATTTCTGCTGGATAAAATTTAATCGATACAATGGATGAAGCTTATTATTATAAAATTGTTTTATTTATTTATTTATCATACAGATATACAAGAAATGATCCTTTTGGAAAACAATGATTTCAAGAAATAGGCAGAAGACATATTACTGTTTCTAAAGTTTGGCTGAGAAATTAGCATCCAAGTTTTAATAGTATGGAAACTGAAACACCATATAAATAAGAGGGGCAAAGGAAACAATCTAAAGACCTTTGTTTGGAACATTGGTTCTTAACCTCCGAGGACTCATCTACTCCTTTGAGTATATGATAAAAACAGTAGTTTCCTCCCAGAAAAATACCCATCGGTACATACTCAAGAAAGCTGGTGTAACACTTAAGGGTATTCTTGATTTTCTGAAGCCCATTCATGGACTTTCTAGGCATCTATGGTTCTCAGGTTATAGAACTCTGACGGAAGACGACAAGCATACAAGACTTAGACAGTACTTTGCGGACCTACGAAAGACCAGAAGTGCCTAAAATCCCATGAGGGGGCAGTTTAGAATCTGAAGCATCTAGGCTCCTTATAAATACTCGGATTTCTTTTGACTGGGTTGTAGTAAAAAAGTACTTAGTTATTGTCCATGAAACTTCTAAAAGTTTAAATTACTTTTATTTGATGGAAATATTTCTGTATCTCTTAGAAACAATATAATAGAAAAATAAAAAGAATCCTGAGTTGAAATCAGGAAGATTTTAGGGCTTCTTCCAAGCTGTTTGAACTTGGACTAATAATTTAATTTCTCTGAGCTTCAGTTTTTATGCTTTTTTAAAAATAACAAAGTATGGGACTGTGTGGTTTTTAAGTCCTCCGTTATAAAACTCCATCATTTAAATTAACTTATCTAAATGTTAAGAAATAAGACAGAAAAATAACTTTCTAAAAATGACAATAGCTGCAGTTACTTCCACAGTAACGTATTTTCAGGAAGTGATTCAAAGTTAAATGTGGTTCAATTGCTAAATGACTGAATTTGCAAAAGTGGGCGATAATTAAGTCATTATGCTCAACCTGTATTACTTATTGATGACTTCTCCATGATTTTGAGTCAGAAGAGTTTTCTACAAGAGATGTTCTAACTGGGCTGTCTGAATGATGAATCATTCCCCACCGAGGTGGTCTTCCTCAGCTCCATGGTACTTATAGGCACTACCAGGAAATTTGACTGTGGTTGCCTGTGTTGTACTTGGCTTTTAACTTTAAAAAAAGGGGGGACTTTCAATATTGATATCACCATGGTTCAGCCTGTAGGAGCAAAAGATTTTCTTGGAGGAAAATGGCTTGACGTTAAAAAAAAAATATATATATATATATATATATGTATATATATTGCACTCAGCCAGGGCTCTAATCATACGAATGCACTCACCATTTGTGTGGCTTTAAATCTGGCTGCACACATGCCAGGACCAAGGATCAGAAATGCATCTGGGTAGCAGAAGCTGGTCAGTATAGTCTCCTCCACCCCCTTTTGTTGTCTGTTTTTGCAACATATGTTAGGCATGAAAGGGACAAACAAGGATGAAGTGGTTTTCTCCTTTTCCATCTGGTTCTCTGCCAGAGATACAAAGCCCGAACAGAGCATCAGATTTCAATGTTCTGACTGCTGAGAAACCCCACTTTCTTGTTCTCTATCCATCACCATTCTTCTTCTTAACAAATATTTTTCCAACAAGTACAAAGCAATGGAGTCCAGTAAAATACAGGGCTATTTCTACTTACTCCCCTCCCAATCCCTGGTCATTAATACTCCCATTTGTGGGATAATACCTTTTGTGGCTTATTTGATAGGAATGTAGTCTGATGTAAGTGCTATATATTCATAGTATTTTGAACTCCTAGAATTAAAAATAAAAATACAGATAGTTCTTTGGGTATAAATAAATTCTGTTCTGTGAGTTACCAAAAAGTCTGTTGTTTGGAGCCCATAGGATATTTCTCATGGAAATAATTTTAAAATAGTGATAAAACTCCAAGATAGAAGACAGAATGGGTGGGGGAGTGGGGGAAGGAAGCAAAGAAGAAAGGAGGGACGGAGGGAGAAGGGGACGGAGGCTAAATCAATACAGGACACAAAATATTACACATCCTTTGCACGCAAACATTTGTCTGTTCCATAATGGAAACTAAAAATTCCTTAGAAGCTTGGCAGCAGTATGGAAGGCAAGGACTGCTTCTTTCAAGTGCGTAAACAATGGGTTCAGTAAGGAGACGGTGGTGGCACCTGCCCTCTGGAGAGCTACAGGACTGCCATGTGGCGATGTTGCTGCAGCTTCTACCTCAAGAGGGTATGGGACCCCACAAGCTGGGGACAGTGTGACTACTGCAGCTGTTCACATTTGCAGAGCAATTTTTAACTGAGTGTTTTAATGTCTGTCAGACATTGCCAAAACATGATTAAATCCCACTGTATAAGGAGTTGCAATCTAGAAATTTGTTTGGGACTTAAAAATCTATTAAGGCTAACAGCATTACTGTGTATTACTAGAGTAATAATTGCTTTTATGTCAAATTTTATCGTGAAAATTTTCAAACATTCAGAAAAGTGGAGAAAATAATAGAATACATTTATATATATATCCATCATTTCAATTAAAAAATCATTATGATTTTGATTCATTTTCACTGGTTATCTTTTTTTGCTTTTTCTTTATTCATTGCCAAGTATCTTTTAGCAAAACATAGATCTCATGTCATTTATACTTCAGTTATACAGCTCGAAAAAATATTACATCTTCCTACACGATGACAATTCCAACATAATTTGCAATAAAAACAATATTTTTTATTGTGTAATAACCCATATATAATCATTGTCTTAACCCTTCTTGCCTATAAAATGTCTTTTTTTGTTTGGTTTGTTCAAACCAGTATTCAAAACAAGATCACCGCACTCCATGTAGTTGTTATGTAACTAAAGTATCTTTTTATCTTGAGCAGTCCCATTTCTGCTTCTACCCCGTACCACTGACCTGTTGCCAATTCATGTTGATGTCATGATTGTCAGGGAATGCTTTTTCCCCTTGAGCGTCATTTAACTCATTCTTTTATTCCTCGTATGTCCTCTAAAGGGAAATTAACTCCAGGGGTGAGTAATTTCTTAAAATACAACAGTGGTTTGATTTTGTCATTAGTAGGCGCTAACAAATCCATTTAGATATAAATAAAGTAATTATTCTGTTATTTCCCATGATTGAAGGAATAATAGTGTAATCAAAATTAAAAGGGTTCCCATATTGCTTAATGTTGATTATATAGCACACCAAATGTCTTATATGTGGCCTGCTATTCTTTTTTGTGACACCAACCTTTTTATGATTATATAGCACACCAAATGTCTTATATGTGGCCTGCTATTCTTTTTCATGACACCAACCTGGTTCCTACACTCCTTACAATTTGCAGACTCTGGCATGGGGATCCTTAATGAGAAATGTTGAGAGAGAACTTTTAAAGAGTTATAGACCACATTATGAAGGGTCCTTAACTGCAAAGATAAACAAACAAAGAACAGGCCCCTTCATGTATTTGACTTTTAATCATGCCTCTAAAGTGGCACGACGATGGTGCATCTACAGGTAAAAGATCACTTGGGATTATATTCAAATAAGCAACATCATCCTAATTCAGTCATTAAAAGCTGTTCCTACATGGCTGAGTATTGGGTGAAACCAACTCTCAACTAACCAGAAAGCAAATGTAATACTATTGTTTTCCCTTTCCCTAGTTATGCACTAGTTATCATAAATCAACAAAGACACTGCTGAAAGGTGAAGAACATGAGATGACATGGGACCTTAGAGAAGTGAACCCTAACAGTGGTGGTGTATGAATACCGTGCTGCTTATAATACTCAGAATGTTATTGTGTAGATATTTTTTAATATTTCCCTTTTAAACATGAGGAAACTGAGTTATAAAAACCTTAAATTGAGGCACCTGGGTGGCTCAGATGGCTAGGTGTCTGCCTTCAGCTCAGGTCATGATCTCAGCGTCCTGGGATCCAGCCCCTTGTCGTGGTTGGGCTCCCAGTTCAGCGGGGAGCCTCCTTCTTCCTCTCCTTGTGCCTTTCCCCCTGCTGTGCTCCCTCTGTCTCTCATACTCTCAAATGAATAAATAAAACCTTAAAAAAAAAGAAAAAGCTTCAGTTGTATTCCCAAGATCACATAGTAATAAATGGAAGCTCTAAGAACTGAATTTAGGCAACCTAACTCTTAACCTGTCTACCACTCTACTGCCTCTTAGTATACAGTTAGAAACTTATTGTTATTTATGTCTTTATTTGAGAGAGAGAGAGAGAGAGGGAGAGCATGGGAGCTAGGGGAGAGAGAAGAAAGAGGGAGAGGGAAAGAGAATCTTGAGCAGGCTCCACGCCCAGTGTGAGCTCAACGCTGGGCTCAATCTCACGATCCTGAGATCATGACCTGAGCAGAAATCAAGAGTTTGACACCTAATCCACTGAGCCACTGAGGCACCCCACAGCTTGTTGTAATTTTTATGTGAATACCAGGAAGTAGAGAAACTTCTTCTGACTCCGAGGTCAACCTTGAAACTTGAAATATCTCTTATACCACATGGGCTTTTAACATGAATATATGTAGACATTTATTGATACCTGTGTGTATAAATATAAATATTGCTTTTGTTTCAAACAGGTCATCGATAACCTCGGTCCTTTGGAACTGATTATTAATACTCCTAGCCATCATAGGGTTCATCATGGTAAAGAAATTTTATCTTTTTTTCTTCTTCATTTCCTTAAAAACAGTATTATTTTGTACCTTTTCATCACAATTATTCAGCATAGTCACCATGCACTGTATAAATAGGTATCCCTTCACCTGGACAAGTCTCATTTCCAAAGCAAAGATTGGAGGGAAAACAAACAAACAACGACAAAAACAAAACAAAAAACAACAACAAAAAAACCCACCTTCCTTGAATTTTCCTTTTTGTCTAGATCTCAGTAGTAATGGAAAATGAGTTAACCACCTGAGGGGATGCACACTTTCTACATTGAAGGTGTCAGTTGAAGGTCACTTCCTGAACCAGTGCTGAGTTTTATTCCTATACACAGCCAGAAAGCCTCTGGTCTTGAAAATTGTTGGGACTTCAGGAAAGCCTAATAAACAGCAACTCACTTTCTTGCTGAAATTCTGTAAAGTGCATTAGCCTGACAAAGAAAAAAATCCCGTGTGGCTAGTGCCTAAGTTTTAAAGACAGGATAAGACTTAACAGAAATGTTTGCATGTGTGCACCAAAAGACCTGTAGAAGAATGTGCATAACAGCATTATTTGTAATAGAAAAAATAGAGATAAAATTAAAATGTTTATCACAGTAGAACAGAGAAATTGTAGATGATGCATGTAATGGGGAATTATGTATCAATAAAAATGTCCAAACTGTTGCAGCTTGGGATGGCCAGAATAAATCTCACAATGTTGAGAGAAGGAAGACAGTAATAAAATAGTAAATATTGTTGTAGTTCTTTTATAAATTTCCAGGCACCATAGGCAGCACTGGAACACTGCAGTCCTCCCTTCCCTAGGGGCAGGTCCCTTTCCTCCTGGCAGGAAGCAGATGGAAGCATAAGCCTCACCTTTCCCCACCAAGGACTGGAGAGGGTGGAGTCAGGTTGCATATGCTCAGTTTCCTCTTCCAAACTCCTTAGGCATTTCCTGGAGCACCTGAGTGGCTCAGTTGGTTAAGCATCTGACTCTTGATTTTGGCTCACATCATGATCTCAGGGTTATGAGATCAACCCCATGATGGGCTCCTCACTGGGCAAAGAGCCTGCTTAATATTCTCTTTTTCCCTCTCCCCATCCCCACCCCTGCTCATGTTCTCTCTCTCCCTCTCTAAAAAAGAAAAAAATAATCCAAACTCCATAGGCATTCCCCAGCAACAAGGAGACTGTTAGTGAGGGGCTGGAGAGGCCAAGGGTTAGAGACTGTTCCTTCATGTAAAATTAGGAAACATAAGGAATGGAGAAGAGTAAGTTCATATTGAAGAAGAAATGGTTGCTAGTGTCCTCTGTTTGACTTCAGGGTGCCTTCCCACTCATGTTGTTTCGTATCTGGGTTTCTCAGCCTCAGCATTATTAAAGTTTTAGACCCAACAGTTCTTCATTTGGAGGCGGGAGGTTAGGGGTGGGACTAGCTGTTATAGGATGTTGGTCTCTACATACTAGATGCAAATAATATCTGTCCCAGTTGTGACTCTCAGCTGTCTTCAGACATTGCTATATGTCCCCCGAGAGGCAAAATGTTCTCCATCCCAACTGAGAACCACTGCTTAGCCCACATATGGCAATGGGGTTTATGTCTGTGCCACCCCCATACTGCTTCTGCGCTGGGGGAAGTTGTTTCTTGTGTCTTCACTTTCAAACATATATTTGCTTGTATAGAAAGCATGTAAAGAAATGATACATAAAGATAGTTGAGTTTGTTGGGGGCAGTCACTTGATGGATTAATATTTTTTTCCTTTGATTTACATGCGTGTGAATATAGTACTATTTAAGCAACTTTTTTATTATTAAAGAAACTATGCCCAGCTATTTCCATTTAAATTGTAATTTGAATACTTTGGAGCAGGAAAACTATATATGTTTTGTCTTAATAAAAATAATCAAGGGTAATTTAGTTTTCACTTGTGTTTTTTATGATTAAAAAAAAAATTGCCTCACTTCAAGTAGAAAATTTTCTTCCTGTAAAACATGCAGAGAAAAGGGGTAGAGATAATAACTCACTTAAAAAAATGGAAATAAACACATATTATTTATCTTATTTCCTATTGCCTTTGTTTTGTGGGCCATTTAATCTTTAATTACTATTCTTCAATAGTCTTAAAGTAAAATTACTTAGAATTTATCCTAGATGTCTAAAAAACTAGAAAATTATGAGAAAAAAACATTTTTTAAAAAATATGGGATAGGTTGGGTTATGGACATTGGGGAGGGTATGTGATATGGTGAGTGTTGTCAAGTGTATAAACCTGACAATTCACAGACCTGTACCCTTGGGGCTAATAATACATTTTATGTTAATAAAAATAATGAATAAAAAATAAATAAATAAAAATATGGAGTAATTCTAAATATATGTAGTTTTAAGGTATTCCTTGCTTTTTTTAGTAAAATTAACTCAAAAAAATAAATACAATAAAACCAGCTTATTAGCAAATAATTAATGTTGCCAGTAAAAAGAGACTCCTAGGAAAATCATTTTGTTTGATGTCTTGATTTTATGAATGGGTCCTAAAATACAATAAAATGTTTCAAAAGCATAACTTCATTTTTCAAAAAAACCCTTTTTTAAATATTTGTTTTATAGGCAGAAACCGTTATTGCATAGACAAAAACTACGCCGGCGTTCTTATTATATGGGATAGAATTTTTGGTAAGTAAAATGTATATGAATTTAAAAATAGTAACTTAGCTCCTTAACTTATAGAAAATCAAAGATCATATCCTTAATGTTTATCTTCCAGGGACATTCGAGGCAGAAAATGAGAAAGTTGTATATGGTCTAACACATCCCATTAATACATTTGAACCATTCAAGGTGCAGGTAATGTAACTGATTTTATTCTTTCTGAATTGATTATATCCTTTCATAAATCTTCTAGTTAAAAGAACAATCATTTGTTGAAAGGTGAAAGTACATTACACTATCCTGAAAATAAGGTTTTTTAACCATAAATAAAGTCGGAAGTAATTCTGGCACTCCAACAAAATCTTGAATCAACTTGGGCAAAATGCATTTGAAAACAACTCATTAAAAGAGCTCATTAAGAACTCTTAAATATATCTACTACCGAGAATTTTTTTTTAAATAGCTCTTTAGCAAACATATTTCTTTCTCAGAACAAACCTGAAATATATTCATGTATTCAGAAGGAGCAGTAGTAAATGCATAATTAAGGCTGATACCACAGTAAGAAAAATATTTGCTTCAAGGCTGCATGACTCTGGTTAGAAATTCAACATGAGGCTTTTGCCCCTACTCTTCTTGGACCTAAATGTCAGGAGCTATTACGAGTTGGTTAGGTCTACGCATTACCTCACCTGCTAAGACTCATTGCACTGGACCAGTTTTCGCTTAGACATGTGGTATTGGTTGTTCACTGATCTCAATGGCTGGCACTAGAGAAATGAAGAATGTCTGTGAAGCTCTGATCCGTCAGCAACAGATCACCACAAACGCTCCTGGGGTTAGGAACTAGTAAATGAGAAAAAGATAAGAATGCTTGAAGAAACTGAAGAGGTCAGTCAGTGACAGCTCTGTAGAGGGGACCGGGTTTACAGCATTCAGTAAGGGAGGAAATTTACAGGTTCATGTGCGGTCTGCTTTTTGAACCTTTGTCTTAGAAGTTTTTAAGAAATTTAAGATAACAAAATAAAGTGACAATTATTGAACCTTTACTATGTGCAGGGTATTGCTAACTGGTCCACACAAATGTCTAATGTAGCCCTTACTAAAACCTTATAAAACAGGGATTCTTTTTATCCTCATTTTTTAGAGGATGAAACTGAAATTGCCAGGATTTAAATGAGTCAACCAGCTACACACAGCAAGCTTAACCAAGGAGGATTGCAGGCCAAGCCCAAGACTCACCTAGCTCCATAACTTTCGCACTGTGCTACCTAATTTCAGAAAAAGCCATCACAAACTGCTTCCATTCTTCAAATGAAAGATATTTTTATCTCACACTTCAGAAGAGAAAAGTTGGTTATTTTCTTCCTTCTCAATCATAGGCCACTCCTCTCTCTGTGTCTCTTTCTCTGTCTGCTGGGCATTACTAAAAATATATCTCTCAGGAGAATATTAAGAAATATTTCACAGTACTTTCTTAATAAGGAACTTTATAGAATTGAAATTAACTTAAAAATAACACATTGAGAGATACCTCTTCACTTGGTCTAGTCTTATCTCTCTAATAGGGATATTAAAAAGGAAATAACCGACTTGGTCTCCGTTCTCTGGGAAGGAGCCTTTGAAACTTCATGTGCATATGAATCATAAGAGGATTTATTAAAGTGCAGGTTTGTTCAGTAGGTCTGAGGTGTATCCAACATTCCGTAATCCTAACAAGCTCCCAGGAGATGCCGAGCCTGTTGTTCCCGGCTGATCCTTTAAGGAGCAAGGCTTTGGGAATGTACGCTTCTGCTGAGACAAAGGGGATCATATCTGAGACAGACTGGGAGACTGAAAACCGTACAACAGGGAGTTAGATGATTAGGATTTGGAGGGACCCAACATTCAGACAGCCACATTATTTATGAGCAGCTGCTGAATCTGTGTGAGGTTCAGTGTCCCAGGCCTCTGCCCTCCTCGAAACATTTCCATATCACAACCGTGTCTGAGGCCTAGGCTTCTAGATGCTCTCTTACATTGTTGAAATGTCATATGGGCATATAGTGTTAATCAGGAATTCTTGAACCTACAAAAACATATACTTACTTTCACTTGTATTCCTTTGTATTCAGCTAAATTTCTCACCTTTCCCTCAGAGGCATCAAAAGCAAGTAGGATGGCCCCCACTAGTAGAAGAGGATTTCTTCTTCCTCTTTATTATTAGGCATCGGAAACTCACTTTGCTCTCCATTGGAGTCCAGTAGTTTCAGGGCATTGGAAAGCAATGTTATTTTAAAATGTTACTACATATTTCTTGTGGCCTGTGTCTAGAACAGGAGCAGTGAAATGGAATCAAGAGTGCCTTGGCCACTGGGTTGGTTGAGTGTCAGACTTACGGTTTTGGCTCAGGTCATGATCTCAGGGTTCTGGGATTGACAGAGCCCTGCATCCAGCTCCACACTCAGCAGGGAGTCTGCTTGAGGTTCTCTCTCTCCCTCTGCCCTTCCCCGCCCGCTTGTACTTCTGTTTCTCTAAAATAAATAAATATTTAAAAATAAATACAATTTATTTTTAAAAATAAATACAAAATACAAAAAATAATTAGTCAGTTTTCAAAATAACAGAACAGATAAATATACTAATATGTGTTACAGCTCCTAAACACATTATGTTTTATATTATAATTATTTTTATTATTAAGACCCAATGTGAATTTCCAGTTGACAGTTCCCTTTTCCTAAAATCTGCTCCACTAAAGCCTACATTGTTCATTAATTGCTTCAGATTTCTTAATTTAATCTTTCAAACAATTTTGAAACCATTTTTATAATCCTAGCAGTTTAAACTCTTTAAGAGACAATGAAAATGCCAGTAAGACCACAAATTCTCATAGAGCCAAAACTTCTTACTACATTAATTTATTGCTTCACTTATAATAGAAGTCAGCATTAGAGTCTATAGCTCCAGGACTGTTTTAAATCCTATGATGCATTACTATCACATGTATGGAGTACATAGCCAGATACCCTGATAGTAATATTTACTGGCTACTTCTCATGTGTGAGCATACTTTTAACTTCCGTACTTGTCAAATATACAGTGTTATTTACGGAATGTGGATTCCTACTATAAGACTCAGAAGTGACTTTGAATATTTCTCCTCAATTATAGACATGATTGTCTGTAACTTAATACAGTAAATAAAGGGTGATTTTTAAATATGTAATATGGTTCCTGTTCAACATTAATATCCATTTAGCAAGACTTTAGAAATAATATCATTAGACAGAAATGCTGAGTGCATAAACTGCTAAGTTAATTCCATTGGAAGAGACTCAAATCCCTTTTTCTATTTTGCTGATTTTCTAAACAATTGTCCTCTTTTTTAATTTCAAAATTATAATTTTGTGGAGTTTTAGAAATATTAACAAGAACACATTTAAAGGACACAGAATGAATAGAATAAATTGCAATATGCAATTGCATATTAATTTACATTAAGCAAATTATATATAACCTGTATATTATAGAACAAAATATAAATTGCATTGAATAATAAATGAATGACTAATTATATACTTCATATTTTTGTTATGTGTTTTTCTTATTTTAAGTAAGCTATATCTTTATTCTTCTAGTTCCACCATTTAGTTTACATATGGACTACATTTTGGGCCACACGTGGATTCTTCAACAAGTTTTCTGTCATATTTAAAGGACCAGGATGGGGTCCAGGTAAACCAAGACTTGGACTGAGTGAAGAAATCCCAGAGGTAAGTAGAGTTCATATTGGGGATGGTGAAGATTAGTGTCATACTGCCAAGTCTACAGTCAGTCTGTATGTATGTTAACTTCATGCAGATCTGAAAAAAGATGTTCCCTTAGGCAGATACAGTCCTAGGGGCCAATAAGAATGGCGCCTTGTCCCAGGCAGACACTGCCTCTTACTGGAGAGCATGGTTTGGGGGGCAAAGCAGCAGAGACTGGTTGTCAGATCCACTCAAACCTGCAGCAGAGAGACTTTGTGTAATGCAAAAACTGTACAAACACATTCACTTGGTCACAGAATCCTAAAACACTAGAGAGGAGGGAGGCTTAAAGATGATTCAGTGTAGCCTTCATTTTGTTCATGAAAAAACGTAAAAATGGGCAACATCACTAATCATCGGGGAAATGCAAATCTAAACCACAAAGAGATATCACCTTATTCCTGTTAGAATGGCTAAAATAAAAAAGACAAGAAATCACAAGTGCTGGTGAAGATGTGTAGAAAAGGAGTCCCCCACATGCTGTTGGTAGGAATGTAAGTTGGTACAACCAATGAATGAAGGGGCCTAGGAGATACAGACTTCTAGTTATGGAATGAGTACGTCACAGGAATAACAGTCACAGCATAAAGAATATAGCCAAGGATATTGTAATAGTGGTATATCAAGACAGATGGTAATTATACTTGTGAACATAGCATAAGGTATAAATTTGCCAAATCACTAAGTTGTATACCTGAAATTAATGTAATTATACTGAATTTAAAAAAAGAAATGAAGTCTCTAGAATGGAAGGTCTAAAGTCACACCAAGATGATGTGGTTATTAGATTAGACCATAATTTTATCCATTCTGTAGTAGATTAGTAGTAGCATTAAATTCAGACTTCACATTAAAACCCTAAAGTAAGTGAAGTGGAGATTTAAAACCCTGGAAATCCAATAAGAAATTCAGTATTAATCTGGAATTATCATAGAGATGATAAGAAGGAATTTCTTTCTAATCCTTAGGATATATATTGTGATTCCTTATGGTAACTGTCATTAATAGTAACCTAAAAGCAATAGAAAGACTAAACTATTGTTTATGTCAAAGATAATTGTGAGTATAAAAATTAGCCCATATTATAAGGAAATAAAATCAGTTTTTGTATGAATATTGTTGTTTTTCAAAAATCTTGATCTAAATAAGAATGTTCTGTTATCCAGTAATGAAAGCTGCTATGCTGAAATTTTCCAGATGTTTTTAGTTTTGTTTCATAATCAATTTTGTATCAATAAGCTAACCTGATGTATGTGAAAATAATTTCCTTATTTCAGCACAGAAAATTTAGTTAACTATGATCCATTTATTATTTCTTCTATTTTTCAGTAGCCTATCCAAAGTGAGTATTCTGAAGTAATATTTGTGCCTAAATTTGCATTATAAAAGTAGAATTGTGTTTCTGGAAAACTATAGTTTAGGGAAGTTGTTTCCAATAAAGCAGTATTTACTTTTGAGGCATGATTATCTTCATTACTGAACTAATCTTCCATTTTTTCTTTTTCTTTACTTTCATGTATAATCATGGACATATTTATTTCTTCATATTTTCATATTTCATATTTTAATGTTCATTGTAGTTATTTATCATCAGTACATATGGCTGACCCAATTCTTATACTGGTTTATTATAAAGCATACTAAATCAAAATCATAATGGTTATGAAATAAAAAAACAAAAACAAGAAGAGAATGTTAGATTCATTTTGGAGGGGAAAAAAAAGGAATAGTGAAGCTTTTCTTTGCTTTTTACATATCTCCTCTTAGTGTGAATTTCAATGAGGGCAATAAACCAAGAAGCAAGGTAAAGAAAAGCCTTCTTGGGGTGCTTGGATTGCTCAGTGGGTTAAAGCCTCTGCCTTTGGCTCAGGTCATGATCCCAGGGTCCTAGGATTGAGCCCTGCATCGGGCTCTCTACTCAGTGGGGAGACTGCTTCCTCCTCTCTCTCTCTCTCTGCCTGACTCTCTGCATACTTGAGATATCTGTCTGTCAAATAAATAAATAAAATCTTGAAAAAAAAAGGGAGAGAGAGAGAAGAAAATGCTTCTTTCTTGTCTTCCTAGGTCACGGGAGAAGAAGTACCCTTCTCATCGCCGGTGTCTCATCTATTAAGGATCTATGCAGTTGTACAGTTTGCTTTGATGCTAGCATTTTATGAAGAGACCTTTGCAGATAAAGCTGTAAGTGGTATCTGTTTTAAATATCTAGGAAATTTCATGAGAAAATTATGTGTCACTTTGTCTGAAAATGGAAATTAGCTCCCCATATTATAGCTGTGCTCTATCTTATTCTGTAATGTCTGCTTTAATGTTGGCAATATGTCCTGTTTAAAGAGGTAAGTTAATTCTCCTAGACTATTAAAGTTAATGGATTATATCCAAAGTGTTCCTGTGAAGAATATCTATCAAATGTTTTGCTAAAGATCTTGATTTGACTTTGGGGAAGCAAAATAAAAAGTCTTCACTGAGAATTTTTAACCACAAACCAGCCCTCACTCAGGGATGGGTCCAGGATTTATAATAACTGTTGATTTAAAAACCTAAATTAAGAATGTAGTTTAAAGGGTTCTCAGATTAGGTCTCGCGTATCTAATAGAACCCTGTTCAAAACATGCTTGGAGCAATCCCCTTAAACTCAAGCATCAGAGTATTCCCACAGATAAAGTCACAGTGATGATGAACTAAGAGTTGAACAGCACAGAAACACACTGGGAAAAAGCAAGCCATCATGACAAAGCATTGGCAGAAACAATAAACAACAGAATCAAACTCTCAGAAACAACAGATGTTGGAAATTAAAGTAAAGCATAAATTTAGTAAAATTAGTATGTTTGAGGGGGCCAAACATAAAATTAAAAAGAAATTAGAATTATGAAAAATTAAGAAACAAAACTATCAAAATTCATAAGGCATATTTAAAAATCTTCATGTTAAACTTCTAGAACACAAAAATGTAATAACACACCTGAGAAAGTCAATGATTTAAATAGCAGTGTAAAGGCAAATTAAGAGAGAATTAGTGGATTAATAATAGAGTAATCCATTATTTTAAAAAATGACCCACTATATAGTGCTAACACATAATGAGATAAAAACAAAACATGACAAGTTATCTTCAGACATAAAGAATAGTGTGTAAAAGTCCAAAAAAAAAAAAAAGATGCAAGAATCTAAAAAAAATTTGAATGAATACAAATGGGATTAGTGGATAGTGAATTCAACCAAAACAAATGAACTTTTTTTAAAGAATAAATCTGTGCTATTTATAGATAGGTATTCACGAAAACTCCATAATTACAGACATTAATTGATAATATATGCAGAAAAAATATAGCTACCATTGGGTTACTTTAATAATTTAATATATAAACCCTATAGCATCATTTTTAATAATTACATACCATTTTAATAATCCTAGTATAGTAATTCCACTGGAACAATTACAGTTATTCCATAAATCCTGTATAGTGAATTATAAGAAAGCAGTCTACTTGAAATAGAGTACTGAGTGTGTTAGGTAGGACTCACTGGTTGCATGTGAGAGATACTCAACCCAGGATAAGTTTATTAACTCCAATAACTGAAGAGTTTGCGACTATTTCTTCTTCAGGCAGTGCTGATCCAATGAGTCAAATAATGTCATCAGAAACTTTCTCATTTTTCCTCAGCTATGCTTTTCTCAATTCAGATTCTCCAACAGACTTTCAGCTTTCATGGTGGCAAGATGACTACCAGCAACTCTGGTTTTAAATACTGCCAAACAAAGAACCCCAGAAGTGAAGGTTCCAAGTTAAGAGTCTAATGTTCTGGATATCACTGAACCAATCAATGTCATCACTCTATGAATGGGAGAACAGGGTCAGTTCCACAGGATCCTCATGATCGGAGAGGAAGAAAAGAATGGCTTAAAAGAAAATTAATTAGGTGATAGTACATAGAAAAAGGGAAATAGATTTGAGTAAACAAAAATAACAAATTTTAGATATTTATAAATCCTTCTTACTAAAAATATGTGACTTCAACTTGTTTTCAAAAAAAATATTCTTTAAACACTTACAAAATGGGTAGTAACAGGTAAACTTTCCTGCGGGATACACTTACTTAAATTATCTATGGCATGTGTGTCTATTAGATATCTTCTGCTCTAAGAAACAGCATATCCAATTAAGTGTGTTCTTAAATAACTGGAAATTCAGGGGCAACTGGGATTGGTTTGTTTATCAGTTCAAACATGTAAGCTTCCAGAAAGGCTTCTCTATCATTCTCTTGGCTTTCATTGTCATAAAATAATGACAGCAGCTTCAGAGTGCTGTACTCACAAGGCTGTGACCAAAGGCAGCAAGTTCACTTCTTCTATAGAATCTTACAAATTACATTTTATTTAAGAAGGAGGCAAAAAAGGCCCAGAATATTTCCCAGCAAATGTCCTTTCATGTCTCATTATTCAAGATGAATTCACATGTCCACACTCAACCAATAACTATCACCATCTCATGAATTAACCATGAATGAATTATACCAAACATAATTTATACCCTGGGGATAAAGAGTTCACTTCCCCCCTGAACACATTTCTTCCTTATACCTGGATAAAATCAGCATAGTACTAGTACAGAAGAAATGGGGGATATTTCCTGGTTGGGGAGCCAGTAGTATGTGGCACAGTGTGTTCTACTAAATAAAATAGGTTTACAGAAAGTTAAACATTAAAAACATTACTAGATAATATATTAAAGAAAGCCCATTTTAATTTCTAACCTTATTTAAAGATTTTACTGATGGGCATTATTCGTATTTGTGGATTTTGCATTTAAAATTAATAAGCAAACATTGTTACAAGTGGTGACCCCCGTTTTGAAAGATAGACAAGTTCATATGTGCTCTCTGGCCAATTGACAATGTTTTTACAAAAACTATGGTAAAATATTTAATAGACTTTTCTGATTATAATAGAAAACAATGAATTACATCCTAGTTCCCATTTTGTGAAGTGAAAGTGAGAAATAGATTACAGTGTAACCAGAAATTCTTGAGAATAGGATGGTAGGAAACATAGCACCTCATTGTTTGCTCTTTCATATGTGCACTACAATTAATGAAGCCAATTGCATGTTGTGCTGGGTTCATTTGCCTTTAGCTTCAAAATGAGACAAAATTTGAACTTAAGAATTTATTTCAGGAGTGGGGCGCCTACGTGGCTCAGTGGGTTAAGCTTCTGCTTTAGCTCAGGTCATGATCCCAGGGTCCTGGGATGGAGCCCCAAATGGGGCTCTCTGCTCAGCGAGGAGCCTGATTTCCTCTCTCTCTTTGCCTGCCTTTCTGCCTCCTTGTGATCTCTCTCTCTGTCAGATAAATAAATAAAATCTTAAAAAAAAAAAGAATTTATTTCAGGAGCAAAGCTTTCTTAAAACAGCATGAACTAAATCACTCTTTTTTTAAAATTAACATACAAAGTATTACTTGTTTCAAGTATACAGGTCTGTGATTTATCAGTCTTACACAATTCACAGCACTCATCATAGCACATACCCTCCCCAGTGTCCTCACCCAGCCCCCTATCCCCCCCTCCCCCCCCCCCCCCCCCGCCACCCCTAGCAACCCTCGGTTTGTTTCCTGAGATTAAGAGTCTCTTATGATGGTTTGTCTCTCTCTCTCTCTCTCTCTCTCTCTGGTTTTGTCTTGTTTGATTTTTCTCTCCCTTCCCATATGATCCTGTCTTGTTTCTCAAATTCCTCATATCAGTGAGATGAACCAAATCACTCTTAGCAATGCATGTGTAGACACCAAACTACCATAATGGTTAGACTAAAACTCAGGTCTTATATTAGTAACCTATCACTGATGACTTTGTTAAACTACTTTGTTGTCTCAATTTTTTCACCTAAATAATGACCTAAATATGCGTGTATTCATAGAGTTTCCATAGTTGAATGAGACGAGAAGAAAAATTAGTTCATCTATCTAAATATCTAACTCTTGATAGATGGATCAATGTTGAGTACAGTTTGCATTATTGATTTTTTTTAGTTGTACTAAGTAAAATACCGAAATAAATTATTCCAATTCATAGAAACAAAATTAGAAATTTATTCATTTTTGTTTTGAAATAGAAACCCTTAACATTAAGTTCACCAAGAAATTTGGTGGTCTAGGCATGTATGCTTCTTGGGCAAAAATGTAGCTAGACACAGTGTCTATTAAAGGATGCAACTTATAGCAGGATTTCACAAGATGTTTCTGCTGCCATACTAAACAGAAACTCCTATAGATATATTGACAAAGAGAAACACCAAGTGTTGAAATCCTTTTCAAACTGGAATTATAGTTGGAGACAGTTTCATTCCTGACACAAATTAATTTTGAAAGGTGTATTTGCTTGTTTCCCACACATGTTTTTCTTTGCTAAAAACATGCTGTGCAACTAGGAAAAAAGGTTGCTTATTTGTAAGATTCTGTAGTGCCTTTCTAGTCTCAGGGATGTTTAAAAGCATATGAAGACATTAACATCCAACAGCAATATTTTTTTTCCAGATTCACTGTAGCCAGTAATCACATAGAAAAGTTGTGGCTGACTTGTAATTGGGGGCCCTGCTGTGGTCCCACAACCTTTTCTGCTTATGCATAAACCAGAGTAGATAAATACTTACTTGTTTTATGTGTGCCAGTTCTGTATAAATAACTTTGGGAGTCAAAAAAGCAATTTGATGGCCACCACAAAGGTGTAAAAGGCACATTCCTTTCTTACAGAAACTTGAAATGCATACATTTAAATATATAGTGTTTAGTTTAGTGATATGACCCACAGACTTCTATGTTGATTTTGGTTTAGTAATGCTTGGGAAATCAATTCCTTAGCTGTTAGGGTCCAGTTCATGGGGTGATATCATGAATACACGTTTGAAATGAAAATACGGACACACTAGCATGTTTCCAAAGTAAAACTGTCAAGGCAATGCTGTCCTTTTAAATAATAGACACACTCAGAAGGGTTTGAGTATTTCACAGTCTTATAATAGAATGTGTAGTAAAGTTACTACAGATAGTTTCAACACAGATTATTTGATGATATGTTTCAAGTTAATGAGGCATCTGAGAATAATATCCAGTATAAATTTGGAAACAGATTTTTATAGTTTTGAATACCCCTGTATGCTGTATTCTGTAAAATATAATGGGCACTG